GGATTTTTTAACAAACGGCACGAAGTCTTTAGGTCTGAAAACACGTGTTGTACTTTTTTTTCCTCACACCAATTTTTGTCCCAAATGGGTTTTTTCGACGAGGTTTTTAATGAGGCAACGATGAATCGTGCTAACTTAGAATCAAGCGGCGCCAAAGATCAATCCAACAATATCCAAGGTTCCTTTGCAATCAACCTTGAATATTATGGGGCTACCCTCGGATATGCGTTAGCTTCGAATATCAACTCTAACGAGAAGACTACTTCATAAAGGGAGGGTCTCGATAGATAGGATTTATTGTAAGGGTCAAACGGTCAAAATGAATCGTACCCACAAAGATTGCTCGAGCCCCGTTTTGATCAAGAATAAAGAAAAGTACTTTCCTTACAAACATCTTATGTTTCTAATAACGAGCCCAAAGGGCAGTACTTAACCAGGATATGAACGATTGCTTGGTCACTCAGGGACTGTCGTCCGTCTCAAACAACTCAAGTGATCGGGCCTCCAGAGAAAAAGACCTAATATGCAACTCCTCGACTTCTAAAGATCACAGCCACCCTGCTTGGGGACTATTATCTCGGACAAGCCCGGATAAAACGGGAAAACAAGCCCAATAGATAGCTCCTGAACTAAAAGGCTACGACCAATCTAACACGGCTCGGAGACGTCCGAAATCCGTAACAAATATAGGCCTTCGAAAAAAGAAGAAATTCTTTCACAAACCAGTTCTAAAGGCTACCCTCGGCAAAGTCTCAAACTTAAGATATTTTTGAGAGAAACTTTGGTATCATCGAACCCCAATAACGCTTTAACATAGAAAGGCAATAAAGGCAAGGTTTGTTCGAACCCTCGAACACAACGTTATTGTTCCATGCTAAGTCATTTTCAACCTTTGCAAATACAAATAATAAAGCAAAGGAAAGATATGAGAGCCAAAAGGGAAAGAAATGCCTTATATTTATATAGTTTTTTACAAAGGCCGAATCGATCTAAAACAACAATTTACAATGGCCAAAAATAGCCTCAGAAAAAATTCAAAAGAAAATCAAAAAACCTAAAGTCCTAAGTGGCTTGGTCTTCATCGGAGGTTGCATCTCCATCCTCGGGATCTTCTCCGTCTTCGGATTCACTTGAGCTCTCAGATTCTTCCTTAGGGAAGGCCATCCTTTGGGCCCTGGCTTCCTCTGCTTTGGTATTTTAAATTTCGGCCATAATATCGAAGCCCTGGGCATTAACTCCCTCGAGAGCTTCCCTTAGAGCTTGCCATTTTTCATGATCCACCGTGCCCTTGGCCTTGGCCTGAATGGCCTCAACGTCGACCCTAAACAGGGCCACTTTAGCATCAGCATTTGTGTTGGCCATGGCCACCTCAGATCTATCCGCGGTCACCTCAGATCTGGCCACTCCGTGTTCGTTGGCCAAGCTTGCCTTATCAAAAACGGCCAAATCCAACTGAGACTGAAGCTCATTGATCTTCTCGACCTGCACCGAGGCTTTCTCTTTTGTAGCTTGGAGCTGGGTCTCGGTTGACTCTAATTGCACTTGGACAGTTTCCTTTTGCAAAGCTAAGATGTCCATATTCTTTTTGAATTTTTCCACCCCGGCCTGTATCGCATCCACCTGCAAATTAAGCCGTCCGATTTGTTCGAGCCTCTGCCGGACCTGCAGAATCGAATCGTTAGTAGTTATCTCCAATTCATCTTCACTATTGTGAAGAACTCGGAATACCTGCTCGGTCATCTCGGCATGCTCATCCCGAGCCGTCACTAAGTCAACCTGAAGCTTCTTACTGAGAAACTTGTAGGTATCACTTTTCTCAGTGAGGTTCCGAACCTCAACCACGTGCTCCTCCCGGATTCGGAGGAAAGCCTCGTGATGTAACACCGAAGCCTGCAAACAAGGGAGAAGATGTTAGAATTATCTACAACTCCGAGTTTAAAATAAATAATAGAGAAACTTTTGAAGTTACCCGATTCAGAGCATGTTGGGCCACATTAAAAATACAAGCGGCTCCTACCGCGTTCATCACGGCTTTGTCTTCCTCAGTCACCAAGGATCGAAGGTAACTAGCAATCCCCATGGGAGGAGAGAAAATCCGGACATCCGCCGGGATAGAAAGCACTATATTTCGCCTACGGTCGGGATTAACACTTGGGGCCGGGAATCGGTCCGCCAGTTTTGGGCTCGATGAAGAACCGGTAGCGCATAATGACGGTACTTTCTTCGGTACCGGTAAACCACTAAACCCGATGACATCCTCTGAGACAGCGGACTCAAACCCGTCCAAGAAGCCATGGATATTGGTCTCCCCCTGAATACCTTCATAAGAGCGACCTTCCAACATATTGGCCTCGCGGATCATAGCGTCCGAATTTTGAAGTGATCCAAAATATCGATCACTCCGAGCTCGTACCTCGAGACATCTCCAGTCTCCCTTTCGACCATCTCAGCTTGGGACAGGGTGGCCTCAATTCTTACTAGTTCAGGAACTTCGGCCAAAGCTCCCTCTTCGACCTCCGCCAGTTTAGAGGACTTTTGTATCGAAGTACCAGCCAGCACGCGGGCCACTAGTTGGGAATTATCTTCCTCTTCTCCTTATTCGTGCTCTTTCCTTAAACGGATGACTAGTTCCAAAGGCATAACACCAATGTCCCCCTTGGGCTTGCGAGACTTCCTCGCCGGTTTTTTCTTTTCCGAGCCGGGGGAACTCGGAGCCCCTTTTCTCTTCTTCTCTTTGGCCTGCTTCGGAGCGGGTGGAAGGACTTCTTCGTCACCAGATGGGGGCCTCATTGAAACATCCTTTCCGAGGCCTACAAGAGAAAAAAGATGAGTAATCTCAAAGAAAATCCTGAACGATCACCATTCTAAGAAGGAAACTTACCATAATTACGGGCCTCCCATCGACCCTTCGACAACTCCATCCAAGCACGCTTTGAGTACGGCCTCTGTAACATGAGGCCTTCGACCCATTTTCTAAGATCCGAAATAGGGTCCGGCATCTGGGCCACAGCTGCAACGCCAAAAAATATCAATAAAGAAAGAAATAAGAAGAAAAGCAACAAGATTAAACCTTCTAAGCGAAGTGCTACTTACGTTACATATTCCATTTCTCGGGAAATGGCATGTATTCAGCAGGGATCAGGTCCGAAGTCCTTATTCGAACAAATCGGCCCATCCAACCTCAGTCCCGACCTTCATCTGCTCGAGAACGGAGCCTTATTGGCTTGGCGAGAAGGCTTGATCTCGATAAAGTCGGGGACTGTAGAGGCGCATAATGTAGTCGAGGGTAAAGGGACATCCCTCGATTTTGCTCACAAAAAATCGGACGAGAATCACTATTCTCTAGAAGGAGGGGAAAATTTGGCCGAGGGTCACATCATACCTCTTGCAAAAGGTAATAATGATGGGGTCTAAGGGACCCAACGTAAAGGGGTAAGTGTAAATACTTAGGAACCCCTCCACGTAGGTAGTGATCGAGTCCTTGGGCGAAGGAACCACCATATGCTTATCGACCCAGTTGTAGTCCTGTTTAACCCTAGGGAGGAGGTTTTCGGTGATTGTGGATATGTATCTCAAGACCGGTTCACATCGGCCCGCTACTAAGGAGGCCTTTTCGACCCTAAAATCAGTAACAATCGGGCACCCTGCCGGAACGAATTCCTCAGGGTAGGGTTCCGCCGCAGCCTCACCGCCGGCGGGCCGTGATGAAGAAGCAGCCTCCTTTTGCGGTACTGTCTTAGAGGTTTTCGCCATTAAAGAACAGGAGAAAAGAGAATTAAGATAGTATACGGATTGATGAGAATTCAAGAAATTTAGGTACAGAAGTTGTAAAACAAAGGGACTTTTTGAGAAAGAGCAAGAGCAGGAAGAGCTTTTGAGCGTGAAAAGTTTTGAATAAGGAAAAAACTAGGGTACTTATAGCTTGCTGGTGATGGTTCAGAACCGATAGTGGCCAACCAGCGACTGACAGGCATTTAATGCCTTGATAACTGGACTGACGGGACATTTTGAGTTGTTGCTTACGTCATGATCGAGTATACAAGTGACATTCGTTGCTTACATCATTGCCTGTCGAGACGGAGCTCGGAAATTCATATCGTTTCTCATCATATTCTCTCCGAGAAATGAGGGGACTATCTGTATACAGTCGAAACCGGCTTGCCTTTCGCATGACTTATCGAGAGTAGAACATGATAGTGCAAAGTTCAAACTCGTGTTATATCAAACCATGGTGTGAAGGCAGATTGCCGAGCTTGTGACTCAGAGATCGATTAAGATCGAGCTCGCCCAAGATCGAGACCGAGAAAGATCGAGATCGGCCAAGATAGAGACTGGCCAAGATCGATATCGGCCAAGATCGAGACTGGCCAAGATCGGGACCGAGCAAGAACGAGTGAAACATACCGAGCCAAATGACGAAAAGCCGAAATATCCGCAATCAGGCGAGAATAAAGGCGCAAATCACGACGCTAATCAAGGAGCGATCGACTAATTAGCCTATCATGAGATTCCTAATTGTGTTAGCATTTATCAATAGTAGGACTCCCCTACAATATAAAGGAGGTCTAATCATTTGTAAAGGGGATCTTTTCAGGCAATGTAAAGAAAAATACTACCTTCTTTTAGCTTGCAATATCTTGTTATTCTGTTCTTATATTACTTGAATCTCCACTTGATTTGAGGGTGATCGAACTCGAGGGTCAAGGCTATTCGATTCGTTTGGTTTGCGTTCTTTTCTTTTACAGTCAATTTTAATATTAATATACATATACATTTTTCTCAATTTGTGTCAAGTTATATCACGTATCCTTAAAATTGCGTATAAATTTAATTGTTATCCGTTTTTCAGGTAAACAACGCTAGTAAATAAATATGTACTACCCAATAAAATGCAGAACATATAAAAATAAATTTAAAACAACAAAGAAAAAATAATAAGAAGGAGAAAACGTGAAGTCCAACGAAGAAGTCTCCCCGCCGGAGAAGGTCAGGAACAGCATATTCCCGCCCAATAAAACGCCTCTGTTTCCTTCATATTTTGCTTCCCCTCAACCATTCTTTCTGATTCTGTCTGATATCAATTCATTACATCATCGCCTCTTTCCTCTCTCCAATCGTCGAGCTCGTAAAGGCCTAAAATATTATTTACTAACCCGTTGAAACAAAAGGCAATTTTCTCAATCGATCTGGACAGACCAATCGATCCATTGTTTAAATACTAAAGAGAAGAAAAAAATGGGAGCATGTGCAAGCAAGCCTAAGGTTTTGGAAGGTACCGCTCCTGGAAAAGTTCCGGCGCCAGAACTGGCCTCCAACGGTAATGTAGCAGATGTGGCGGCGGAAGAAGGAATTGTGGGTGATGATAAACGCCAGTCTCTCGGTAATTTGTTCAAGAAGGTATTCATATTTTACGGTGGCCCTTTCATCTCGCTCTCTCTATTTCTCTGTTTAAATTTATGTCAATATATAACAAACAATATATATTTATACACATAATTATTGTAATGTTGCATGTATTGTTTCACGTTGATATCTAAAAATTCACCTTTTACATTTTTAGTGACGCACTACTAATTTCAGCAGGCTTTATAAAGCTGGATTATGTAAGTGTCAAAATGAAACTTTTTCAACTTTTCATGCAATTGCTTTGACATTAGCCTAGTTTTTCAATGTTAATAAAGAAAGCTATGTAATATGCATTATCTTGGAATTTAAAAGGCTTGACATGTTCAAGAAGTTTGCTACTATCGGCTCTAATGGCTCTGGTTTTACAGAAACTTCTTTGCCTTTCATTCTCTTATGCTACATGGAAGGCCAGAAATGTTCTTGTTTAGAAGTCTTTAAGTTTTTGGCTTTGACATTTAATATTATACAAAGTACACAAATAGATCTGATGACTTGGTGAAGTTACTTATCAAAAATTGTAAAAACGAACCTTTTGAAATTGCGTATCCACATCCAACATTCCAGCTTGTATTTATAACGACTAGTCATGAGTCATAACCTAACAAGAGAATGCCGTATTGCCTCTTGATAGATGCTATTTACTACACAAAATAGTAGCAATACTTTCATTTTGTGACACTTTCTTTTTCATTTTATGACACTTTTTTTTTGTTGAATTCCTACTAAGAATGCTGCATTATTATATTTGGAAACTCTTTAATTTTAAAAAAAAATTTAAAATTTTAATACTATATGCCAAATTTTTTTTTTTTTTAACTTTGTGCCCGACAACACCGTCAAACACCATCATATACAATGAAACAAAGAAAGTTATTGTTGATAAATTTATTTGCATCTCGCTAATTCCTGATATTAATTCGCCGATGCAGAGCGAAGAAGGGAAAGACTCAGAACAAGTAAAAGAGGAGACATCTACCATACAAGCTTCTGAACCATCGGAACCCCAGACAGAAGAAGTTGTGACGGTACTTGATACCCATATAACGACTGACACAACAAAAGCATCAGAAGTAGAGGTATCAAAGACAGAGACCCCAGATGCTAAAACATCGGTTGAAAAGGCAACAGAAGAAGTAAAATCAGAAACCGAGACTCCTACAGAGGAGAAAAGGGAGGAAGTAAAATCAGAAGCAGAGACTCCCTCGGAGAAGAAAGTGGAGGAAGAAAAATCAGAAACAAAGAATCCCACGAAAAAGAAAATTGAGGAAGTAAAGTCAGAAACAGAGAGCACAGAGGCTTCGGTAGAGAAGAAAGAAGAGGAAGTAAAAGAAGCAGTGGAGACTCCATCAGAGAAGAAAATAGAAGAAGATCCCGTAACACAGGAAACAAAATCTGAAGCTCTAGTGGAGAACAAAACAGAAGAGAAGCCAGCTACGGAGGCAAAGAAACCTGTCATTGAAGAAAAGAAGTCAGGCAAATTTTGGTGGGACAAGTAAATCATAACGCAAATGCTTGGAAGAAAATGGTTCCTTAATTACTTGAAGGGTTGCATGTGTGATTAATTCAGATGGTATGTCAATGATTTCATGTTGAACAAGTTGTTATGAGCAAAATTTAATATTTCATTGTTTAATATTATCATTCTCATTATCATACTATATTTTCATCTCGTTCATTAGCACATTTGACATTATCTACTTTTAATTTGGTATATGAATAAGAAAAGTATTTTATATTCTTGTTCATCATTCATGAAGCTAAATTTAACACTTTAGTCGATATTATTCGACTTTAATTGTTCTAATAATCTTTTGAAATTTAGCTTTCACTCAAATGCAACTCATATCACAATTTATAAACTCTTTCAATATTTTAACAAAATATTTTAATCCAAAATTCGATATTTAGGATAAAGCAATTAAATTTGTAGTTGAAGGTTAAAGGCCATAAATTCAATCCAAATAATAACTACTCCCTACGTTTCAAAATAATTGGCACCATTACTATTGAGAAGTCTACGAGCTTATTCTTTGGCCATGTTTTCCTTAAATATTTTATAAATATTATGAATTATTATGACTTATAATACTTTTTATGTAGTTTTCGAAAATATAAATTTTAATTTCAAAAACCTGAAGAATCTATGTTCAAATTTACGGTTAAAGTTAAGTACTTTGACGCTCGTACTTCGAACTATGCCAACCTTTTTAAAACGGAGGAAGTAGATAATTAAGGTAAAATATACGATAAAGCAATGAATTATAAAGCAGAGAAAGGTAAGAGAGATATTATTTAATGGCCGCTTCAGGCTAGAGTGATCGAAGCTTGATTATAGAGAATTTGTAAGACTACCAAAAATGAAAAAAATAATAGAACGTCTAATGTAAACAGTAATTGTTAATCGTCTTTTGGAATGAACAAATGTTAACTTATATAGTGTGGAACCCGAGTTGCTGTTTTCTTGAAGTACACTGCCGTCACACTCATTTATTTTGACAATTTGAATGATTTGTAATGGCTACTATAATGTTGGATCTCGTAACTGTAAAATTAATGATGAATCTTCGAATGCCCGATCGTTTGTTGATCTGCTACACTTCTTATCCCTAAGCTCCTCAATCATACCTGAATTTTTTGGATATTTGGCTTTCTTTCCGAGTATTTGAGATGATCATCCGAGGAGTCTTCCAACTATCCCCGGTTTCTTGACTTCTTGATTTTATACACTTTGTCTAATCTGTAAGATTATTGGTCAATCCTTGACACGTGTCCTCTTCTGAATAGTGCACAGGTTATGTCTATTTTTTATCAATACAAATAGTCCCCTAACTTTCCGTATATTTTTCGGAAATTTTTATGAAATGAAAGATTCTTTGAGTGAAGAAGATCATGATTAAGTTTCTTGATTGACGGGAGAAAATCTAGTCCGATTCTCGTATTCTGAAATTGAAATAACATGAGTTGTGATTAAAATAATTTATGCCGCATTTTCTTGTGGTTCGAGCCACGTAGCGGACCTCAATCGATGTTATTGTTATCAGTGGTTTCGAGAGGCTAGTGACTTGTTATATATGGATGCCTTCTCTTTTTCTCCTTTCTGTCCTATTCTCTTACAACTTTCGCAACTCCCTTTGAGCTCTTTGTTTGTTCTTGCAATTTTTCAAAGGTTATGGATTTCCAAAACTTTAACTTAGTAGTAAATAAAACCCTGGTTTTGTAAAGCCATATTTTTGGTGAATCTCTGATTGGGGAACTGTCACGCCCCGAACCTGGGTCTGGACGTAACATGACACCCGGTGCCTGACTACATGTGACCGAGCGAACTAACTTGCTGGCTGAATCAACATGTGATATCATAACATACTGAATGTGGAAGATAAACTAATACATGCTGATATACTGAAAGTCTGGATGATATAAATCAAGTGCGGAAATACTAACATAATTTTGAAATATATTTGTAGCCAACATGGCTTAACCTGAAAAGCCTGTGATTCTGTCTAACTGTTACTCTAGTCTATAAAGTCTCTAATGAAGTACTGAAAACACTGACTGTCTGCAAATACTGGAAGATTGTAAAGTAATGGTAATGCCCCGAAAGAATTGGGGCTCACCAAATAGCTAGTACGAGAATCCTAGCGCTCTGAATCGTCAACCTGTAAATCATTAACTGCATCGTGAGATGCAGGCCCCGAACAAAAGGGACGTCAGTACATTTGAATTGCACTGGTATGTAAAGCAACAGAAAGAAAGAACTATAAATGCTGAAACGGATACTGAGGTGATAACTGAGAATTGATAATTGACAACTGAAATGATAACTCTTGAAACTGAAACTGAAATGATAACTACTAACTGTTAACTGAAATGATAACTGATAACTGAACTGAACAAAGGAAGTAAGAATATAAATACTCCCTCTTCTGAATGATGAACAACATATTTATCTGTATATTAAACTGCGGCCTCAGGCCCAATATATCTGTGCATAAACTGCGGCCTCGGGCCCAAGTATATGTATACATAACTGCGCCCTCAGGCCCAAAGATGCATAAAGCATAAATTGCGGCCTCAGGCCCAAACATGCATAAAGCATAAACTGCAGCCTCGGGACCAAATACAGGTATTCAACATTCATGTATTTAAAAACAGGAACTGAGAATCATACTGTAATACATGATAATGAAATACTAAACCATACTAAGTTACACGATACTTAAATGCTGAATAGAGCTAGACTGAGACATGTATTCGCAAACTGATTATGAAAACTGAAACTTCAACTGTTTATGACATGCTGAGTAATCTAGATTGAGACTCATGGGCATCAAACACAAGTCTATATTGATTACGCACTGAGCTCACAACGTTCAGAATAAAAGTCATGAACGAATTACGAAGCTAGATAATAGAAGTTCTGCAACTACTCAAGGAACTAAACTTAACTTTATTTCCGAGACAATTAGTAACATTGTAGAAGGAACGTAGTATAGGGAGAATCGTTAACATTCCCAAATATAGAGAGTTAGCCTCACATACCTTAACTTCCTCCTCTTGATTGTGATACAATATTCGCCAACCCTTTCAACTTTAATCTATATCACTACAAGTCAAAGGGATTCCACATTAGCAATAATACTCATGTTTTGGTCACTTAGGTATTTTCTCAAACACTTGGTGGGCATAAAGCTTCATAGCCCTTATTAATTGTGTTTCTATACCCAACAACCCATTCTCTTGCTCATAGATAAATTCTAAAATCTCAATTTTCTATAATCAATACAATTCTTCATCACCCATAAATAATCAATAATCAACAACTCAAATCTATAATCGTTCATGCTTTTCTATCAAAACCATCAACCCATATCTCATGAACTTGTAGTTTATTCAATGCTATAATCAATTAGAGGGTGAAGATATTACATTCTTGACGTTCAATCCTCTTGAACTTGAGATCTAGGGTTTCTTCTCTCAACAATGATGCCCAATCAAATATCTAATGATCTGAAGGGTTTACCCATGTTAATAAGGTGTTGTAGAATTGAAATAAACTTAGCATCACCATTAAAACTTACCTTGGATGGTGGAGGGACCTTTGAGGAGTTAGGTTCTTGAGAGCT